CCCCAAAACCCCAAAACCCCAAAACCCCAAAACCCCAAAACCCCTTAAAACTTGGCTAAAATTGAATAAACATAGGAAATAAATGGAGATTATTCTAAGAAAGCCAGCATCTGAACGATCAGACCAGAACATCCAAGACCTAAAAGAGTATTTTAAGGACAACAAGTTCTTCACAGAACAAGAGAATGAAAATGGAGAGGCCTGATCAGAGATGATCCTCAGGTCAATTACATACCAGAAGATCACCAAGGGAGAACATGTCATGCGGTTTGGAGACTTTGGGACTACTTATTACATCATTATTAAAGGAAAAGTCGAGATCAGGTAAGCTACTTCTCCTAATTTCTTTCTTATAGGATCCCAAATCCTGTTACCATGAAGTTCCAGCTTAGGGATTTGATGATCTATATTTCTAAGAATTATGAATTTATCATAAATAATGAGGAAAGTGAAGTAATGTTCGAGACGGTTAACATGTATTTTCCTGAGTGATTCAGGAAACCCCAAGGTGACTCATACAAGCTAATTCCTGATATCCTGGAAGATATCTTATGTGGAGAATCTGACGAGAAGTACTTACAGAAACACAAGGGAGTCTTCCCTTCTTTTAAAGAAAAGAATAATGATGGAAAACTGGAGGAGGTTGATAAAGAATTCAGCTTCAAGTATCTAAATCCAATCTTGACAGTTGGAGACGGAGGTGCTTTTGGAGAGCTAGCTTTGCTCAATGACAAACCTAGAGCTGCAACAATCATTACTCTTGAAGACACCCATTTCGCTGTCCTTGAAAAATCGGATTTCAAGAGGGTTATGGAGAAGTCTTTGAAAAATAAGTTTGCTGAAAGGGTCAAATTTTTGGATTCTTTTCCATTCATTCTAAACCTCACCAAGATCGCAAAGGAGAAACTATCCTTAGTCATGACTCGAGAGGAGTATAAGTCTGGTCAATGTCTAATGACTGAAGGAGACCCCCTTAAGTACGTATACCTTATAGAAGAAGGAGAATTTGAAGTCCAAAAGACAGTTTATCTTGATAAGAAAATAGATATGGTCTATGGTTACTTCTTAAGAGTCTTTTCAACCAAAAACTTGGAAACCCTTAAAAAATTACTGGGGAGAGACAGGATTGCCTATACTGGAGATCAAAATGAGGAATACAAGCTCCATGAAGAATCTAAAACTATGAAAAAGAAGAAATTTAAGTTATCAATAATGTGCAAGGAGGAATGCGCAGGGATCTGAGAGGTTAAGCTAAACTGACCATTTTCCTTCACCACTATAATATGCCATTCTCGTGTTGCAGTAGTCCAGAAAATTAAGAGAAGCGAATTTTTTAAGAGAGTTAAGCTTAACTCTAATGCAATGATCATGACGGTGAAGTCGAAATTTAATTTCTATGTGGAAAGATTATTAACTTTGTTCAAGACACATAATATTACATTGCCTCCAAAATTTGAGCTACAAGAGCTTGATCTAGAGCTAGATCTAGATTTAGGGAAATCAAAATAAGGCATCTGAAAGTATCCAAGCTGTTAGAAAGATCATTAATCCTGAAGAAAGTAAGTTTTATCAATCTCTAATCTTTATCTAGGCTTTAAAGAAGTAAATTATCCCATAAAATTGAATAGGAAGAGCACTTAGAAAAAGGATCAACTCCCAGCAAATTTCACAATAAACTCAACCGGGCTCTTGCAAAAATATTCATAAAGAAGAATCAAGGCCAAATGACAATGAGAAGAAAGAGTAACAAGATTAGTGCAGCACCAGACTACACCTTAGACCTACTCTTAGAGAAGCACCCGAAGTGCCCTTCTAAAAGTATATTTCAAGAGGTTACCATCATTGATGAAGATATAAGGTAAATTCATATTTTTATCAAAGTTTGTGAACAGTTTTATAAACCAATATATGCTCTAGAGAATGAAAAATTAAGTCAACCAAAAATGTTACTCTTCAAAGGGAATCTTTTCCGCGTAAGAAGACTATTGACTTGGTTAAAGAGAATTCTGTTGGAGATCTGAAGCCAAAGAGCAAGGCAAGTGTGGATTCTGAGAAAAATAAGGGATTACCATCTTTGAAGGATCCTGACAGATTTTTCTCTCCACAACCTCATTCTGTTAAATCTCGTTTTCATCAGGTGAATGTTCCAAAAGCTTCAATAATCAACGGAGACATAAAATCTGTGAGCTCTAATGAGTCTCAAGAGATACATGTAGAGAAATCTGGAGATTCGGTTCAGAAACGTTCTGCCAAAGCAAGTGGATTCTTCAGTACAAGAAATAATCGTAAGTTGTTGTCTGATATTTTAGATATCCTAAAAACTTGTGTATTTCCATTGACGGACAAAAGGAACAAAAGTAAGAATAGCAAGTTTAAGAATCTTGACAATTGCTTGGAGGACATAGAGGCTAAAGCACTTTTTAGTCCGCAAGCTAGTCATTGGAAATTTAGTAAGGTCTCTAGAATGAAGCAGCTTAAAAAGCCTTATAAAATATGAGACAAAGAGGAGTTCAAAAGATCTATGAGCTTTGGAAATATAATTAATTTGGAATCCAGAGATGGACAAATATCAAGGAATCCTGTTGGTCTTCCTCTCAAGGCAAAAACTTCGTTCCCTAAGATAGATCAGAGGGGGAAATTTCGATCAGGGACCCAATCCATAGGGAATGAAAGCCATAATAGCTCAGATACTAAATCAGTCAAACATATCCCTCATTTTCTCTCTGATGATGGTCAAAGTTCATTTTATAAGAACCAATGCTTTATCGGTAATAAGAAGAGTAGCTTTCTGAAGAAAGGAAAGATGTCTAATTTCAGGGACAGAAATCAGGACTTGCTTCATTCTTAACCAAGTATCGTCCTTCCTAAGATTGTAGAATTTTGATCAGAACATTTTTAAACCATAATTTCAATCAAAAATAATAAAATAGGGGTTTTGGGGTTTTGGGGTTTTGGGGTTTTGGGG